CGTCCTCAACGACGGCCTCCGCCTCTTCACCGCCCACCACGACCACAGAATCCGCGTCTGGAAAATCCAAACCCACAACAACAACAACAACAACAATAGGTCGAAAACAATCGATTTGAAGCAAATTACGACTCTACCCACGGCTCGCGATCGGTGGTTCACGAACATCTTCTCGGCGAAAAACTACGTGGAGATCCGCCGACACAAGAAATGCACGTGGGTCCGCCATGCGGACGCAGTGTCGGGACTTGCCCTCTCGCCAGACGGCCTCAACCTCTACTCCGTCTCGTGGGACCGTTCCCTTAAGGTGTGGCGCACGCGCGGCGGATTCCGCTGCGCAGAGTCCGTCCCGAACGCGCACGACGACGCCATCAACGCTGTTGTCTGCTCCCCCGACTGGCTCGTTTTCACGGGCTCGGCGGACAAGACGATTAAAGTGTGGAAAAGAAATGATGATGATAATAATAATAAGGGAAGGCACGTGGCAATTGGCGTGCTTGAAGGGCATAAGTCAGCGGTAAATGCGTTGGCTTTGAATGAAAACGGGTCGGTTCTTTACTCGGGTGGGTGTGACCGGTCGGTTATAGTTTGGGAGAGGAGGGATAATGATGAAGGTGGGGTTGTTATGGTGGTGGCCGGAAAGTTGAGGGGTCACCGGAAAGCGATTCTTTGCCTGGCGGCGGTTGGGGATTTGGTGTGCAGTGGGTCGGCGGATAAGACGGTGAGGGTGTGGAGGAGGCTAACGGAGAGTGGTGGTTATTCGTGTTTGGCGGTTTTGGAAGGGCATTTGGGTCCGGTTAAGTGTCTGGCGGCGAGTTGGGATTTTAACGACGACGGTAAAAACGATGAGGGTAAAAATGATGATGGGAAGTTATACCGGGTTTACAGTGGCGGCCTGGATTTTGATATCAAGGTGTGGGAAATTAGGGCACCTTCTTAATTTTTTTTTTATTGCTTTTTGTTTTTTTGGGATTTTTTGTGTGTTAAGTTTCGTGTTTGTGGAATATATGGAATTTGGTAGTGGCCAGTTGGGTAAAAGAGTGATACAAAGTAGTTTCTGTGTTGCTGATTTTGCAACTTCTGTGTTTTGTTCTTGGTGAGATAAGTGTACAATATTGGACTATATTGTGTAAGTTAAATTAGTATTGAATAAATCGAAGTTGATAATGTTTTTTTCCAATCTATCTTAATCTGATGATATCAAAGTTTTCTTGATTATGATATATGATTGCCAATATATACCAAACATCCTAGGTGTGTGAGAAATTAAAAATTACAATGTTGAACAACATAATAAGACTTTCAATTCGTGAGCTTGACTCGGTTCGTTAAGTCAGTCAACCTCGAACATATTGAGGCTCGAGTTTTGCTCGTTAGTACAAATAAAGAGTTGAGCTTTAGCTTGTTTACTTAACAAACTAAGAGTGACTTGATTCGGTAAAGACTCGAGCACTAATTCGAGTATCAGGAGTTTCTGCTCAGCCTCAAATTGTTAGTTTTTTTACACAAACCCGCAGACTTTGTGGATGCCGCGTCATTGATACGTCACCAAAACGGTCAAAAGAACAAAGAAAGGAAAAGAATCGAAAAGCCATTATTGATATAAAACTTGGTTGAGAGTCTTGAGACGAAAGACTATTTATACTCCATGCAAGCTTCTCGAAGTATCGTGTAGTGTTGGGTGCATGCCACGTTAAAAGAAATAATGATGGTAGTTAAAAACTGCTTTTTCTAATATCATCATTCTTGTATATAAATATGAGGGTACCTTTAAAGGAAAGAAAACAAATGTGATTTTAGATTAATGTCAGCTAAGAAACATATGATCATGCTCAATTGAAAGCTGGGGTTTTCAATGTTTATTATATGCTCTTGTGAATTATCCAAATTCCATGTCGAATAGTGTGATGGTATTTGACAAATAGTTGGCACAAAATCAAATATAGAATTTTAGATAGAACAGAATTATATATGAAATAATATAGGACGAATACATTTATATAAATGTCAACTTTGCAACTCTATCGTTGCGAATAAAAAAACTTTGCAACTCGGTTTGGACATGTGGTCGAGTCGGATTTTATCTCGAACCTAAGTCAAACTTAGGCCAGGTTAAGCATTTCGCGCATTTCGCACTCCGCCCGATCAGTATATGGGTCGGGTCATGTACATTTTGATTGAATTTTACGCAATATATTATTCATCGGTTTTAGTTAAATATTTTTTCTATTTATTATAAAAAAAATTAAACATTGTTCAATCGAGTACCATACAGAAACACAAATACTGAGGGTACTTAATAATTTCTAATTTATTACTTAAAAAAGATCATATTGATTGAACCTCTTTATGCATCGGAACTGTGGAACTGCCCTTGGGCTTAAATTCAGCGTATTATGGGCCGTGTTAGTATAAATTGCATTGTGGTAATGAATTGCATTGGTCCAATATATCTGGATTTTTTTTTTTTTAAATAGATATATTCTCCGTCACAGAAGCCCAGCATAATCTTCGTTAGAATATGAGCTTCATACACACTATTAAATTGAAATAACCAGATTTCAACACGAAGCATACTTTCATAACCCCTTTTAACTTTTTGAAATAGACAAGTTAATAGTATTTTGGTAATGTTTTGGGAAAAACGTTGTCTATTTCAAAATTTTGGAATAAGGTAACCACAACAATTAAGAAGAGATAATAGTACTTTGGAGAGTGCTTCGTGTTAAATTTAAATTTTGAAATAGACAAATTAACATTTATCTCTTCTCAATGGTTACCTTATTCATATGCTGGTCAATAGATTTAATAATCAAAAACAGAAGAAATAGTTTAGGAATTTACACAAATAAGATTGGTACGAAATGTATCCTAAATATTAAATAAAGGTAAACAAAACAGTTATACAAAATAAATGATAGGAGCCAGAACAAAATATTTGGCATTTATCTTAAAAAGATAAATCATTATAT